GGTGCCTACACTGCTAAAATTTACCTTGCCGGGAGGAGAGGATGCTGGCGGCAGGGAAGCAGCTCAGTCTGTTCTTCCTGCTCCTCACTGATCCCCCGCACGCACCCTCTGTAGTGATATTACATAATTCCGGCCCGGCATCACTAAACTGCGCGTTTAGTGAGGAGCAGATAGGGAGACCTCCAGAGAGAAGATCCCCACTGGACCCCAGGGAGAGGTCCCACATCAGCTCCCAAAGGTAGGGAGCAATAAATAAAATAATTTGTGAGTGTGTGCAAGAATGTGTAAATGTGTCTGTGTGTTGCCTGTCAGTGTGTGTCTGATAGTGTGTGTGTGTGTGTCTGTCTGTCTGTCAGTGAGAGTGTGTGTGTCTGTCTGTCTGTGAGAGTGTGTGTGTGTGTGTCTGTCAGTACATGTGTCTGTGAGTGAGTGTGTGTCTGTCAGTGTGTGTGTGTCTGTCAGTACATGTGTCTGTGAGTGAGTGTGTGTGTGTGTCTGTCAGTAAATGTGTCTGTGAGTGAGTGTGTGTGTCTGTCAGTGAGTGTGTGTGTGTCTGTCAGCGCATGTGTCTGTCAGTGAGTGTGTGTGTGTGTTGGTCAGTGTTGCTATGGCCACGGCTGGACAGTGAAGGACCTGGAGGTGCACGGAGGGATGCAACACCACGTCACATTCCGACGTGACGTCAACGTACTCCACCTTTACAGGGTTTCAAGGAGTAGCGGGAGGATCCACTTTGGCACAGGATGCTGATGGCGCCATTGGGTGTATACCAGCAGCTGGACTCGGGAGTCGCATACTGGCAGCAGCAATGAGAGTGGAGTCTGCTTGTTGGCTAATATGTTGTGTTTTTTTAAACAGGGGCCAGGATTTAGTAGAGAGGGGAACTGGGATTTAGTAGAGGGAGTGGCATGGGTGTCCACAGGGGGGAGCACTTGCTCCCCCCCCCCCCTGGATTTTTCAGCTTGTTCTGCTATTTTTCGTGTGAAATTGAAAATACAGTGCAATACCGGCACTGGCCAGTATGGAGAGAGACAGGGATAGGAAGCTACATTTTATCCCTGCTTCTCTCTCCTGACTGAATCTGCAGAGGAGCAGCACAGAGTGCAGCCAGCAACTCCTAGACTGCAGAGACAGCCTACAGATCAGCTAAGTGAGGCATGGGGGAAGCCTATAGATCAGGGAAGGGAGGCATGGGGGGCAGCCTATAGATCAGGTAAGTCAGGGAGGGGGAGGGGAGATACAGCCTATAGACTAGGTAAGTGAGGGATGGGGGGAGAGAAAGCCTAAAGATCAGGTAGGTGTGGGATGGGGGGTGGGAGACAGCCTATAGATTAGCATAATAACTGAGGGATGGGGGAGGCAGCCTATAGATCAGGTAAGTGGGGAGTGGGAGACAGCCTCCCAGGTAAGTGAGGGATGGGGTAGACAGCCTACAGGAAGGGTCAGCAAGGAGCAGGAAGGTAAAGTAAGAGAAGGAACAGAATTGAGCAGGAAGGGACATCAAGGAGCAGAATGGGGCAGCAAGGAGCTGGAAAGGAAAGCAAGGAGCACAAAGGTAAAGTAGGAGAAGGAGCACAAAGGAACAGAAATTAACCCAGAAGGGGCAGCAAGGAGCAGGAAGGATCAGCAAGGAAACACAAAGGATCAGCAAGGAGCTGGAATGGTCAGCAAGGAGCAGGAAGGGTCAGCAAGAAGCTGGAAGGTTAAGCATCACAAATGTAAAGTAGAAGGAGCAGAAAGGGTCAGCAAGGAGATGGAAAGAGCAGGAAGGGATAAAAGGAGCACAAATGTAAAGTAGGAGAAGGGACATAAATGAGCATGAAGGCACATCAAGGAGCAGAAAGGGTCAGCAATGAGCTGGAAGGGGCAGAAGGAGCACAAAATTAAAGTAGGAGAAGGAGCAGAAATTAGCAGCAAGGGTCTGCAAGGAGCAGGAAGGGTCTGCAAAGAGCAGGAAGGGTCTGCAAAGAGCACAAAGGTAAAGGAGCAGAAAAAAATCAGAAGGAGCACAAATGTAAAGTAGGAGAAGGAGCAGAAAATGGTAGCAAGGAGCAGGAAGGAACAGCAAGGAGCACAAAGATAAAGTAGGAGAAGGAGCAGAAAGAGAAAGGGTGCAAAATAAGCAGAAAGTAGCAGAAAGGTGAAGGAGCCATGGAGGAGAGAAGACTGTGTCAGAAGAAAAAGAAGACTGTGTCAAATGAAGGAGAAGAAAATGAGATTGGAGCAGGAAGGACAAGTGAAGTGAACCCACCACTTTATTCTGGACACCACATCATAAGGCTTTGGTACCTGGGCCTGGCAGGGAAGCTTTGAACCTTCTCATCCCCCCAGGTAAAAAAAAAAATATCAGTGTTAATGTGTTCGCTTTTATTTACTGAATGTAGGGAAGCACAGAGTGCCGCTGGGTAGGGGTTTTGCTGATTGGCTAGAGCAGTCAGCTGGCACTCTAAGCCAATCAGTAGCTCCCCATTCATAAAAAAGTAAAACATATCTATGAACCAGGAACTAGCGATTGGCTTAGAGCATCAACTGACCACTCTAGCCAATCTGCAGCACCCATGCCTGACGTCAATCTGCACTTTCTGACACTCCGTTTCAGAAGCCGAATACCACTGACGACCTGGAGATCTGGAGTTGGAGCAAGCCTTTGGGGTTAAACCATTTGAGAGCAGTTTAACCCCTTAAAGGAAAGAGATCACTCAGGGGCTTCCTGGCATCATAGCATTTTCATTTAGATTAAGTTGTTATGGTGACCAGAATGTTCCTTTAATTTGCTTAAAGGTACACTATAGTGTCAGCAATACAAACATGTATTCCTGACACCATAGTTGTGAAAATGCTATTCACCCTGGCTTTATGTGTTAATGACTATGCCCCTTCCCTTTCATGACACTGTCAAAAAGGGACCAAACATGGATGTCATTACAATTATACCTCCCCCCCCAGAAAAATTCCTGCGGACGCCCATGTGGAGGGGGACTGGGATTTAGTATAGAGGGTAGGCTGGGCGTTAGAAGAGGAGGGTGCTGGGGTTTAGAAGAGGGGGATTGTTTGTTTTTATATTGTACTTTTCAAAATAAACCTATGTTTCTATGAAAATTTAAGTTTTGGGGGTTTTTTTGCGGCCCACATAAATTTAAACCTTGTTAATTTGGCCTGTGCTAGCCTTTAGTTTGACATGCTTGTTTTAAAGGGATGCTCTAAGAATTAAAACATTTTTAACTTTATGAAGTGTATAGATCGTACCGTTAGTATATAGGTCATGCCCCTGCAGTCTCACTGCTCAATCCTCCGCGTTTTAAGAAAAAATTGCTTTTGTTTTCATGTGACCACACAGTGTTTATTTGAGAATTTTTTATCTCCATCTTTGTTAATAGAACTTTAACCCCTTTAGGACCAAACTTTTGGAATAAAAGGGAATCATGACATGTCACACACGTCATGTGTCCTTAAGGGGTTAATCACACACAAGGCTCCTGCAGGATCTACCAGGCTATTAACAGAGCAGTAAAGGAATTTTAAACATTAGATCTCTCTTTACAGAAAATGTGCAGGGAGACTGTGTTGGTTGCACGCAGGGGAGCTGTGACTAGACGTGCATAAACAAAGTGATGGATTATTGGGAGGGGCTGGGGATTGCCCTGCTGTCATGGACTATATTTGTACCAATGGCAAAGACAAAAGAAGATGGAAGATGTTAAAAAATGAGCTCAGGGAATTAGGAAGTAAACCACCAAGGTAGTATTTTCAGAAAATAAACTGTGCCACGCGCTACAGTAGAAAGACAGCGGGAGATTAGGGGGGTTAATGCATGGCTATAGTCATGGTGTAGGAAGGAGGGTTTTGGCTGTTAGGAGCACTGGGCCATTTTTCCACTATGGTACAACTTTATAGCAGTGATGAATTGCACCTAAATGGAATAGGGTCTGCAGTGCTGGGGGACAGTATGGCTTGAAGGTTGGAGAAGATTTTAACTTAGTGGTAGGGGAGAAGGAGCATAGAAATCTAAAAAATTAAGATAGGATAGAAAGGAGATGGGCTTTAGCTCAACATTAGGGGGGTGGAGATGGTGGAAGGGGCAAGATCGGAATAAAGGAGGTATGTAATAGTAATAAAATTCAAATAAATTAGAAGTGGCCCATGATAATATTAAATGTATGCTTACTAATGCAAGAAACTTAAAATTAGGGAGTAGGAGGTAATAGCATACACTAAGCAATATCACATAATAGGAATAACAGAAACATGGTTGGATGAGACACATGACTGGGCAGTTAACTTAAATGGTTACACATTATTTAGGAGTATAGAAAAGAACAACAAAGGTGGTGGGGTATGTTTGTATGTCAACCATGAGTTAAAGCCAAATCTAAAGCAAGTGGAATGTGATGAGGAACACGTGGAAGCTTTATGGGTAAATACCGTATATACTCTAGTATAAGACGACTTTTTCGGCACATTTTTTTCGTCTTATACTCGAGTCAAGGTCTGTATTATGGCAACTTACATTGCCATAATACAGACCAGAACCGCCGGCAGCAAGCTGTTAGTTACCTTTGTAGCAGCTCCGGTCAGCTCCCTGTCCGCTCCGTGCAGCTCCCCTGTTCAGCTCACAGTGTAAGTCTCACGACACCCGCGGCCGTCAGAGCATAGCTGCTACAAAGGTAAGTAACAGTTTGCTCTGCCCCCCCCCGCCACCCCTGCACAGCCCATCCACTGGACCACCAGGGAATGTTACAGCCCCCTCCCTAGCCAGGTAACAAGCAGGGAAGGGGGACAAAAAAACATTAAATAAATATTAAAATAATTTAAATAATATTATAAAAAATATATTAAAATAATTTTATTAAAATAATATTTAAAAAAATTTAAATAAAAATGCCCTCCCCCACCCAGTTTACACACACACACACACTACACACTACACACACACACAAACACACACTGCATTATATACACACACACTCTGCATTATATACACACAGAGTGTGTGTTTGTATGTGTGTGTGTGTGTATATAATGCAGAGTGTGTGTGTATATAATGCACACACTCTGCATTATATACACACACACTCATACAAACACACACTCTGCATTATATATACACACACACACACTCATACAAACACACACTCTGCATTATATATACACACACACACACACACACTCATACAAACACACACTGCATTATATACACACACTGCATTCATTATACACACACTACACAAACACACACACTGCATTCATTATATACACACACACTACACAAACACACACACACTGCATTCATTATATACACACACACTACACAAACACACACACACTGCATTCATTATTTACACACACTGTAAATAAATATTCGATTAATGTAATTTTATTGGGATCTAATTTTATTTAGAAATTTAACAGTAGCTGCTGCATTTCCCACCCTAGTCTTATACTCAAGTCAATAATTTTCGCAATTTTGTGGTAAAATTAGGGGCCTCGACTTATATTCGAGTATATACGGTATCTGCTTGGGGTAAAAGAATGGAAATAAATTATTGGTTGTGATATGTTATAAACCACTTCATGTGAAAATTGAGGAGGAAGAAGAACTGTTAGAGCAAATTGGGAAAGCTGCATATCTGGGTAGCATTTTAATTACCTGAACATAAATTGGGACAGAGGGAATAGCAGTTCAGTTTTTGTAGTTCAGTTTTTGAACGTGGTAAATGACACCTTCATGTCACAATTGGTGCAAGCACCAACTAGAAAGGTTGCTTGTCTGGATCTGCTTATAACAAACAATGTTGAAGTTTTGAGCAACTTTTAAGTAGGCGAGCACTTGGGAATAGTGATCACAATATAGTGTCTTCTGAAATAAACTCAAAAAAGCAAAAGCACATGGGGTACACAAACACATATCATTTTTAAAAGGCCACTTTCAATAAGATAAGGGCATCTTTACAATATATTGACTGGCATAAACTCTTTAGGAAAAAAAAGACTAAGGATAAATGGAATATCTTTAAACAAATATTAGAAAAGTACATTTCTCAGATTGTACCATTGGGTAATAAATATAAAAGAAACAAATGGAAACCAATGTGGCTTAATGAGAAAGTAAAACAAGAGATTAAAAATAAGAAAAGTGCATTTAAAACATTTCAATCTGACAAAAAAAGAGACATCCTAAAAAAAATGGGGGGTGATTTTGCTCTCTTGACTTCACTGTCAAGAGACCAAAACCAATCCCCATTTAAAAAAAAGAAAAAAAAATTTTCATTCTAATAAAAAAAAAAAAATGAAAGTGTAGGTACATTGAAAACACAGATGGGCATGCGAGTTAATGAAGACCAGGAGGTTACTTCATTAAGTAACTTATTTTCCTCAGTATATATTAAGGAGTATCCTATGGCAAGGGATATGTAAATGATTAAAGATGTAAAAGGGGTAAGGGCTGCGCTCAGGGCTTGTAACCAGGGCCGGACTGGCCCACCGGGATACCAGGAAATTTCCCGGTCCGGTGGCACACTGAGAGGGGGCCGGCCGCGTTCCATACTGGAGCCGCCGGGCCGGGTGGCAGCTTCGCCGGTCCGGCGGCACTCCAGTCACTGGCTGCTGATGGAGGAGGAGCCTGTCTACCATGCTCCCTCGCGGTTCTCCACCTCCTTCAGCCATCAGTGACTGGAGTGCTGCCGGACCGGCGAAGCTGCCACCCGGCCCGGCGGCTCCAGTATGGAATGCGGCCGGCCCCCTGCCTTCTCTAAGGGAACTTGGGGGCAGGGGGAGAGATAGGGAAAGGGGGTAGGGATGGAGGGAAAGGGTGGGGGAGGGAGGGAGAGGGGAGAGACACACAGGGAAAGGGGGAGGGAGAGGGAGAGACACAGGAAAGGGGAGGAAGAGGGAGAGACACAAGGAAAGGGGGGGGAGGGAGAGGGGAGAGACACAGGAAAGGGAGGGAGAGGGGAGAGACACAGGAAAGGGGAGGAGGGAGAGGGGAGGACAGAAAAGGGAGGGAGGGAGAGGGAGGGGAGAGGGGAGAGACACAGGAAAGGGGAGGTGAGGGAATAGGGAGAGGAGAGACACAGGAAAGGGGGAGGGAGAGAGATGGGAGAGACACAGGGAAAGGGGGGAGGGGGATGGGAGAGCTGGTGAGGGGAATAGAGAGGGGAGAGACACAGGGAAAGGGGGAGGGAGAGACACAGGGAAAGGAGGGAGGGAGAGAGAGGGGAGAGACACAGGGAAACGGGGGAGGGAGAGACACAGAGAAAGGGGGTGAAAGGATGCAGAGGGGGGAGAGAGAAACAAAGAGGGAGAAATGAGACACACAAGGGGAGGGGAAGAAAGAGGCAGAGGGGGAAGAGAGAGAGAAAGAGGGAGAAATGAGAGAGACACACAAGGGGAGGGGAAGAAAGAGGCAGAGGGGGAAGAGAGAGACTGGGAAGGAGAGGGGAGACATTGACACAGAGGAGCAGTGAGGGGGAGAAAGAGAGGACCCAGGGCAACGCTCTGGCTCTCACGAGGGTGAACTCTAGCCCTGGAGCTACGGGCTAGAGTTCACTCTCACCAGTACCTGGTGGTCGCAGTAGTAGGAGTGAACTCTAGCCCCATACACACACTGCCCACACACACACACACCATACACATTCACACACTGCCCCCACACACACCATACACATTCACACACTGCCCCCACACACACACACACACCATACACTTCCCCCACACACACACACACACACACACACACACACACTGAACCTTTCACACACATTGCACCACTGCTCCTATACCCTACTACAGCCCCATATCCCAGAAGACTCCAGGTAAGTTGTCAAACTGTTCTTAAACGGTTTGACTACTTACTCTGGGAGGGGGTGCCGACACTCCTGGCACCGTAAACCACTACACAGAGGAGTAGTGGTTATTGTGCATGGAATATTTCTTTAAATAATCTACAAGTGCCCCTCCCGGGCTCAGGCTCTGGATCCGTCACTGGTATATGACATGTATATTAGTTATATATATATATATATATATATATATATATATATATATATATATATATATTATATTTACACGTATTAATGTACATTTATGTATGCATAATACACAGAGCAATTTCATTAATATGTACCATATGTAATGAGTAGATATTGGCCCAGTCTTGTTGCTAGGTGCATACTCCAGCACAATAACATATTTAAAGTGAAGAGCACACCCACAGGACTTCAAAATAAAATTTTTTTTACAGTTGTGCCCTACATACATTCACCATTTCAGTCCCATTAACAAGCTTTCCTTAATATGTCAAGGTAGTTGGACTGAAACATTGATTACATGCAAAGGCACGTCTGCTTAAAATAAATCTGCACTTTTATTTATTTTGAAGCCTATGATTGCGCTTTTTACGGTGAAGTACTTTTTAATTTTAATTTATCTGTTCTAACTCTGTATCTGCACACTATGCTGGCGCGACGCATTATGGGGCTGGTAAATATTTTTTTTCCAGGGCTGCTTTTAATTCCCAGTCCGGCCCTGCTTGTAACAGTAGTTTATAACAATGAAAACCAGACCAAATGGTCTAAATGGAGATACAACAACAAGTGGGCCTATGTAAAAAACGGTGGAGAGTAAAAAGCATCGCTAAGAAAACAGAATAAAATAGGGTGAGATCCTCAGGAGTTGACCCGTCCGGATAGTAAAATATTCATATAAAAGTCTCACTAATATATCAGGATAAGGTAGGGGTACAATCCTCAGGAGTTGATCCGTCCGGATGGTTAAAATATCCGTATATGTGGAGAGACAAAGGGAAAACATAGCAAACAGACGATAGTGTGATATAGACAAGATCCAATGGTAAAATGGATAAAAAAAAGAAGGTAATAAACTCATATTTGTGAGAGCTATAACCAGCTCTGGAGTGAAGGGCGTATAGCGGTGTAATCCCCACTAGAGGATATAGTGGAGAAGTTCGTCCGTCAATCCGGTCTGATTTTTCAGTGCTCCAGGATATATATAGAAAACAGCAATAGTGCTCTCAATATATAAAGAATGAGTAATAAAATATATACATAAAATATACTCACAAATATAGAGCAGAAGGTACTGCTCTATTAACACAGCGTTGGTGGAATAATCCCCACCTTGGATTGCTTGAGTACAGGATACAGTAAAAATGCCAGGGAGAGTAATAATAAAAAGTGCATATAAAATACAATAAAAAGATAACTGGTACAGAAAAAGAGTAAGCAAAAAACTTTTATTGTTAAAATACACAATTTAAAACCATTAACGCGTTTCACCTTACAAGGCTTCTTCAAAATGGTATAAGATATGCCTTTTTTTTTTTATAAGAGTCTTGAGGGATTCCCTTTTTTGGGTTGCTGCCCTTCATTTTGTTATCTAGCGCCGACTCTTCTCCCCTGTTCTTATATGTAAATGATTGCTGTAAAAATATTCAGAAAAATTGTAATTGGAAGAATCAAGAAAATGTGTAATGGACCACTGAAAATAAAGCTCCGGGGCCTGACAGTATTCACCCATGGGTACTTAAGGAGCCAAGTGTGAAAATATTCGGGGTAACTAAATGTGTAATGGACCACTGTAAATAAAGTTCCGGGGCCTGGAAGTATTCACCCATGGGTACTTAAGGAGCCAAGTGTGGAAATAAGTGAAACTCTGTATTTAAAGGGGCTCTCCAGTGCCAGGAAAACATATATACAAAAATCCATCCCTCCCACCCCCCATCCCAAGTTAAAACCCCTTTAGTGACTTACCAGAGTACAGCACCAATGTCCCTTGGCGCTGAGTCAGGCTCTGCTTACTCTCCTCCCCCGCCAACGTCAGCCGGCGTGGGAGACCTAATGCGCATGTGCGGCAATGGCCGCGCACGGACATTAGACGTCCCCATAGGAAAACATTATTCAATGCTTACCTATGGGGATTTCAGCAACGCTGGAGGTCCTCACATAGCATGAGGATGTCCAGCGTTGTTTAAAACATTTTTCGTGTTCTAAAAACACGAAGTCCCTCTAGTGGCTGTATGAAAGACAAACACTAGAGGAGGACTTAACCCTGCAAGGTAATTATTGCAGTTTATAAAACCCTGCAATAACTACACTTGCAGGGTTAA